AAAACTGGTGGGCGGCCTATGCTCCATTGGGGGTAGCAGGCGTAAGTAAGTAAGTAAGTAAGCCCCTCAACAAGCCATACGTGTCCATGCGGCTAAATTGAATGAATTTAAACGACAGATAGGTCATGCTACGGTAAATCGAGGAATCAAGAATAGAATCGACAAAGCTGACGCAAAAGTAGAGTTACATATGTTCAGTGATGCCTCAGAGATTGGTCATGGGGCAGTTGCTTACGCGCGAGTTAGTTATATGGAAGAACCACCATACTGTATTTGGTTGTACAGCAAGTTCCGGGTAGCACCTATCAAACAAGTCATTATACCGAGCCTTGAGATGGCGGCAGCTGTTTTAAGTGTAAGAATAAGTGAAGTGAGTCTACCCAATTTTTTTCTGCGAAGTGAACCTCCATAGAGATTCCATGATATTGTTATACTACATTGAAAACACCGAAAACCGGTATAGTAGCTACATAGCCAATTGTCACGCCGTTGTGCACCAGTATATGAAGGTTGAACAATAGAGTTATGTAAGTTCGTCAAAGAACCCAGCTGATTGGACTTCAAGATGTATACAAAAAATGACCGATCTTGAATCTTGGATTAAATATCCTACTTTACTGCATGGTGAATTCGGTGCAACTACTACTGACTGCCCAGAACCTACTCCTGACAAAACTGAGTTTAGAAAAACTGGTGAGGTTAACTTGAGTAATATAAAATATAACCAATCGCCTATTCTTTCTTACTACTCGGAATGGACGAAATTAGTCAGAGCTGTAGCTTGGTGTAGAAGGTTCATAGAATTCGTTCACTGAGACATGAAGGTTTCATTCATTTAGAATGCCTAAATGTCAAGGAGCTTGAAATTGCCAAGCGTAAAGTTTTGATGATGGTCCAGAAAGAGTTGTATGTAGAATTACTTAGTGAATTTAAGAACAACTGTTAAGTAGTTAGTCATAATGATCTGCGTGGCTTATCGCCGATATTGCTTGATGGGTTACTCTGTGTTGGAGGTCGCCTAACCCACTCAGATTTTCCGAATGTTTTTAAACATCCAATAATTTTATTCAACCGAAACTTGGTGACAGAAATGATAATTAGACATTATCACAGAGAAGAAGAGCACACGGGAACAAGCCACGATTAGCAAATGATTTTGGGTAGCAAAAGGTACCAGCACGGTTAGGAGAGTGATAGGAAATTGTGTGACCTGCCGGAGGTTTACGATGAATTCAGGACAACAGCTGATGGCGCCGCTTCCATCTTGTAGAGTGCGAAACGGTTGGTATAGCTTCTCAGCGGTAGGAGTAGACTACTTTAGACCTTTTTTAGTCAAAAGAGGAAGGTCATTAGAAAAAAGATATGGATGTGTATTTACTTGTTTGTAGACACGAGCAGTACATATTGATATGACGTATAGTTTGAATACTGATTCATTGTTAATGGCCTCACTACGTTTTATTGGAAGAAGAGGGAGGCCAACAGAAATGTGTGGTGACAATGGGTCGAACTTCGTGGGTGCAGTCTCAGAACTGAGGATATTTGTGCAACAGTTGAATCAGCACAAAATAAGTAATGAATTGTCATCGAAGCAAATTCAATGGCATTTCAACTCTCCCCTATCCAGCCACAGAAGTGGAGTTTGGGAGCGGATGATTAGATCTATACGATGGCTGTTATTTTCGATCACCAGAGAACAGACGTTGGCTGATGAGACTTTATGCACTTATTTGGTTGAAATTGAGAGAATATTGAACGACCGACCCTTAACCCCAGCTGTACAAGATGCCAACGATGAACTTGCTTTATCGCCAAATTGTTTGCTGTTATTGAGAGAATGTGACGGAATAGTCGAAGAAGGTAGCATCGGATAAAATATGACAAACGTTGGAAGCAGGTTAATTATATAGCTAATGTGTTTTGGAAAGGGTGGTTAAGAGAATATTTGCCGTCCCTACAAACACGTCAAAAATGGTTAGTGGAACACCACAATTTCCAAAAAGGAGAGGAAGTAATCATGGCTTCGGATATTTCGACTCGGGGAAAGTGTCCTTTAGGAATGATAGAAAGCTGTGAAACCGATAACGACGAAAAGGTAAGAACGGTAACTGTTTGAACTAATAACTGATTAGTCAGGAAGGATATACATAAGGTATGTCTCCTTGAAGGTTCAAATTAGTTCTTTGTTATATCCATGTAGGAGGTCGGGTAGGCGTATTGCTGTAAGTCCTACTCGTTCTTCTAGTGTGGATTATGCTATTGAATGAACCATGACCATAGGCATTGAAATGGCTTTGCTTTGTATGGAGGGATTTTGATGGCCGGTGTAAGATCCATTTTTGAAGCCCTTGTCTGTGAAAATCCCTCCATATATACACTTATAATTTGTCCTTACTGAAACCTTCAGTTGTACGTTTTATTAGTCTGTTCGATTACATTTTGAGATGATAATATTTGTATTTTATTATAGTTTCTGTTTCTTCTGCTTTTACTGAGTTTCTATGTTTCTTTCTGAAGTGTATTTATGTTGTTTAAGCTGATACTTAGTCAAGGTGACAGACATATTGATTTGTTCCTCTTTTTATCGGATTGCTTGCTTTGACTGAAATTGTGCATTTTGATTATGCATTGAAGCACCCTTCCAGAATAAAAAGCACTCAGTGTTATAAAGCGACCAAATGTCATCTTTTGAAGGAATCTGATCTATCTAGGAGGGATAAAATAACATTTATTTGTGCTCTTGATTCGATTAATTGAACAATTGTCGAAGGAATAAGTGAGTGGTAATATTTGTTTAGGTAATGATGTACATTTATATTTATGATGAGTATTATTATTATTATTTTTTTTCCAACCTTTTTTTTATATCAAATGGGCAAGACGCGTATCTAATCTACCTAGACAGTTATTACTCAATCCAAACCTCAGTTTGGATCCCATAGTGAGCATAAAACATTTTCAAGTACTGAATTGCCCGTTTCTTCTAAACTGGTGTATTGTACTTCCTTTTTCTGGTCCTCTTCATTTTCTGTTCACGATAATAATTATCCAGCCTTATACCACATTAGGGTACTGTATGAACTCGGATCAGATTGTGACTGGAGTTGAGTACAATGATATACGCGAAATTCAAAACCGATTTATCTAAAGAGGTTCATTATCGGGGAATATATATACATTGGTTACAAACCAAGAATCGTGAGGTATGTTAGTCTAGAAAAAGAAAGGCTTCCTATAGCAGTAGTTACATAAAGGGGAATTAAACATTCGATAGATTAAATGTGAGCTGATAGTTGTGTCCAATGTTAAATACTTTAATCAGCAAACAAAACAGGAAATAAGAACACAAACATGAGATCTGATGTCTTTAAACGAAGGTTCAAGGAATGTACGAAACTGAAGATAACTGCTAAAAGGGCTATGGGAAATAAATTATAATATTAAATACAGAAATTGCCGTCAGTCGATAAACTTCAACAGCACCATATGTTTATAAATTAGTACAAACACAACTGCTTACTAAATATTAGCAAGTAGTATGAAGCAATACAAAAAACGAGCTGATTAAGAAGAAATTAAAGACAGAGAATCTGATCGGACTGGACAATATCTCATGAGTTCCGAAACAGCTAACGCCTATTGTGTTGAAATTGTGCGTGTGATCATTTGTTCATTAAACTACTTACACTAATTGATACATTTAAAACAATCAGAGAATACAGTGATAGTTCACTGTTCATCTATAATTACCCTCATATATGAATCTATTGATTAGGTGGTAACATTCATTTTGTAAATCAAATGGTTCTACTCTTTCAAAGTACATGCACAATAATAAGACAGCAGAAAATAAAAAACCAAACACTGTTTCTCTTTTCCTCCTTTCCGGTAGTAAACAACCTCTCACAAAGTTAAAATCCTTCAAATAATTATGAAAATATGACAAGAAACTCAAAATTAAATGGACTAGCTTTGAGTACCAATCCAAACTTACAAATTCCATAGTTTACACAGTAACAGTTACTAAAACCATTGCTAACATTGTAAACGATAAATGAATAATAACATTTGAGAACCGAAAACGTAAAGGGAACATTGGAATCAAAAACCGAATGTAAAAACACTTAAGACAAGAAAATGACAAAGATAATGAATCAGCGAACCGTCAATAATGCACGAATCTGAGAAGCCGTCATCCTTCGGTTCATTTCGCGAAATCGCAACTGGACGTATTGGATTTCTTCAAAGTAAAGATTAATATTAAATGTATAACTACTAGTGCAGTGGATGCTAATCACAAAGCGGCTCATAAGTAGTATATGGAGGAGCGTCGCTCAGAAGTTGCTACCACTAGGTAGAAGATTGTTGGGAATATTGTTGGAATATTTTGAAGACTAGGAGAAGAGTGAAAGAAGTCAGTCAATAACTTGCTTCGATTGCAAGCGTCCGACAAACAACTTCAATTTAAGTCCAAATGAGGGCTTATCTACAGAACAGTTCAGTTGTTGAAAAATATACGAAGATTAGTTGCAGACATCAACTTGTAACTTATTTTTGGTGATTAATGATTCCAATATGTATGGACAGGAAAATGCTTTTTTGTAATAATTACATAAAGGCTACTTATGATTATAATTGCATTCCCCTAATACTTATAACAAATACATAGATAGTTTGATTCATATTAGTGTTTGATTTCTCTAACTACTAATCATTTAAATTCTTGAAAGTATGAAATTACACCTCACGGTTTCGATTTGTTCATAAAACGCGATAGCAGCTTGATAAACAAGTAAGTTTACACAACATTAATTTGTCACCATGGTTAAAATACTATTTGTTATCAATTATTCACACGTGACTCAAAAAAAAATATATTTTAAAAATGGTTTTTTCCAGTGTTTCTTGTTTCACTTACGCACAACGTAGTTTTCCGAAATTGATATCACCCTCTCGCTATAAATACGGATTAAGTTATATTGAATTGTAATTCTGCTAACAGAACATTTTAAACTCTGCAATTTTACACATTTTCCACTAATCTTCCGATCAGTCATACACTGAATGATTCTAACTTTAACCAAGAATTATAATCACCATTACGTGTCAGTATTGTGATAACACATAATCTTGTATAAACACTGCACATAATTCATTAGGATATCTCAATGCAGCTACAATTCAAAACCAAAAGGATAAATATATCTTCTTTTGCTTTCAATATTTCTCATTCCTTTTAGGCTACTTATTTTCTCAGATTCATCAATGTTAAAGTTAGGTTCGTCACTAGGTACGCTTGAAGCCATTACGAGTTTACCTTAGTCGATAAAAACGAACGAGACAATCACCAGCGTCCAGGTAGGTTACCTTGATTCCAAAACTGCAAAAGAGAAGTCTTGATAAGCATAGAAAGTATATTCTACAAACACCCAGCAAGCACAATACAATCAAGCACACAACTCTCGTCTACTTATACAACATAGAAACGTTCTTGGGACAGTCACAAAAATAGCACACTAAAATACACAGCAGCCAGTCACAGCCAAGGATTTTCCTGGTGGGAAATGAAATCTCAAGGTCAACCGATCAGCCCATGCTCGCAATTCTGAAATCCGAAATAAGGCATTTATCAAGCGAGTTCTGAGGATCTAAGGTCCCCAACAGTTAAGTCTATTTGTTCGACAAAAACCAAATGCGCTAACTTCCAATCCGAATTCTACGTAGGCCCTGAAGTAGGTCATTTCATACTCTTTTGCTGAACATGCAGAAGAGAAAAATCATGCAGGAGAATTATCTTCTCATAAAAAACACCGGAACATAGTGAAACTTGTTAACTTGCGAAGAATGTATTGCTTAACGTTATAATGTTTTTGATTTGTAGATTTTTATCACATACATTGTTAAAAGCTGTCAACTATTGTTACTGTAGAACTCCGCACAAGAAATTCATAATCAGCAACATGTATAGCAAAAGTGAAGTAACCGAATTCGCCATTTATTAAGCTCCTCAATTTTTGTGTAATCAACTAATCACTGAACTGAGGAAAAAAAATAGGAAACGCTTTACATCAGTGTCAGATCTAAATAAATCGCAGTATACATGTGCTTATCTGCATTTGTTGTTTGAGTTACTGATTAAAACTTTTCACAAAATAAGTTGACTAACATCAAAACCTAATATTACTTTTATTGTAAAATGATAGTCTACAATGTCTTCCATTTCATTAGGTAGATGTGTGGGGTCCATTTATCTGCGTGTTCGGATAGCGTCTGACGGTTTATAAATCAGAAGGCGAATTCGAAGTAATGAATACGTTCATATTTTGGAAACACCACATAGCGAAGTTGGAAAGCAGCGAAAGGATGAGCGAAGGAAGCGAACGAATAGACGAAGAGTATTGGGGAAAGCTAAGAGTCCACTCAAATAAATAGAGCATGACTAAGAATATATAGTCAGACAAATATAAGACAGACAGGCAACAAGCGAAATAGGTACACATGAACAAAGCGACGAATGATTGACAAGGTCAAATGACAAGTGGGACACGTCATGTGAGCTCATACAAACCAGACAATAATAAGAACGAATGGTACATATAAATTGTTGCTACGCGAATGGCTTGGTTAAATAGATTAATCGAAAGGGCTTAACCAAGTTAGATGTAAGCGAACTGGAATATATGTGGAGGCGCTACAGATGCACCTCACATAAATTTTCTTTACTCCCTGAAATATGCATAATCTAAAGATTTATTTCCAGTTCTAGTCCATTAGTTGGTCTTCTGGCGAAAATCAACTGACATAAATTCTATGGTTCCCTAAAAATTGTCCACCCAACTTTTATTTGATATCTCACTTGGGGCTTAACAAGCGGAGAATAAACGAAAACGGGATACACTCTTAAGGAGAAAAGTTATATCCTGCTGCCTATACAATTTTATGCCTGTTCACATGAAATATAGCATTTCCCGATTGGATTGCATGATTTTAGCCATCCAATCAATTTCTATGTAAATTCTGATCAATCATAAAACGATGAACTTGACCTGAATCATTCGGAGATTTTGTCTTCCTAATCAGCTGTTATTGGAATAAACATATGAATACATAATAACATCTTGTTATAAACATCAAAGCCTTGATACTTTGATTAGTTTCTACTAGTCCATTTACAAAATGCCAAATGAAAAGCATAAGGTTGTTAGTATTCCTGTGAATTGTGAAAACCGTACATTTGAGAAACAAAGACGTGATTTGCTAGAAACCTTAGAGTATAAAGGTGGTGATGACTCCATTGACTTACTCACTGATGATTGGTCGAAAAGACTGAAACGTTGGGTTGACTTGTCATGGAATAGCTGGAATGATGAAATCCGACGTTTGAAACAAGGAATGTTCGTACTACTGGTGAGTTCGTTTCAAAATTCTTTCATTGCTTTTTAAGTATGTGTTAAGTTAAAAGATCTTTAGCAAAAAGGACGAAGCGAAAAGTACAGCTGTAAATATCTGTAAAATATTAATGGAAGTTTATTGATTTCTATTGTGTCACAAATTCTTGAAACTGAATGTAAGTATATTATTCTTTAGCCCTCAGTACTTGTGTACTTAACCAAAAAAATGCTCAAAAACTCATTTGGGTTACAAGTCACTACACTTAATACTTTGAAACTTGTGACATTTTAACGTAAGAGTAGCTTAAAAATGTAATACTTTTTTATACCTTGAGTTTTTATGCTGACGTGTACATTTTTAAAGTTCAAATGTACCTTTTTCTTCACAAACTAAAATACAACTAACAATGAATTATCATTTCTATTTTTCACATTTCAGCCGCTTAATACATGTGGTCTCGTGGGGACTTGTGACCCTATTTTGCTTATGGACCAGATGGAGCATCAAATGAAAGACTTACGTGACCAGATTCATGATAATGATGTGATTTCAACTGGTGTAGTGAGCGATTATCTTAAGGATGCCTATGAAATAGGTGACAATGGGAATGTAAGGATTAATATCTTATCTCTATTGAATTTATTATACAAAATCATTTCAAATATTTAAGAAATTTAAACAGTGTGTTTATTTTGTAGGTGTACTTTCATGTACGTTTTGATGTGAAAGACTTTGAACCCGAAGATATTAATGTGTCAATGATTGATGACTATATTAAAGTACAAGCCAAGAAGGTGATAAAAATGGACGATTCCAGTAGTTATCGTGAATTTTGTCGAATAATTCAACTACCCAAATCAATTAACTACAATCAATTGAAATGTAGCCTTACTAGTGTAAGTTATTCAAAACATTGTATATCAAACCATTTTTGTTACTGTTACTCATATAAATGAAACATATTTATCTCTAATTTGTTTATTTCAGGATGGCGTCTTAAATATTGCATCTCCAGTGAATGCACCGAACTACCAATCACTTACATTTAATGATAACGGTAAGATTAGCGTTCGGCCTAAATCATACAATCAAGTTCAAAATGCTCACAGTTTAAAGAAACTGGAAATCAAAGGTAAGCACAATACATCGATATTTATTATTAAGAACTAATTATTTAATCATTCATTGTTTAAAGTTCAGCTTATTATTTTCTTAGGTGATCATGGTTACTCTATTATTGACAACCAAAATGGTGGTAAGAATATACATGTTGAAATACCATTGGATGAAATCTATGAACCTGAAGATTTATGCATCAGTGTTGATTCAAACCGAATTGTAATCTTTGGTCGTCACCATATAAAAGGTTGTCATTCAAGTTCCTATGCTGAATTCAATAATTCATATGAAGCTCCAGAAACACTGGACCCATTGTCCATTTCTGCTCAATTGATTGACAAAACACTAGTTTTAGAAGCTCCTCTAATGAAGTATCATTCACTGAAGCAGTAATGTTTAACTAATTCAACTTATTTAAATCAAATAACTGTTCCCCCATTAAATTCTTGTGTTTTTGTTTTTTGAATGTGCTTTTTGTTTACCAACGAAAGAAAAAAAGTAAGACACAACTGATTGATTATTTTGACATTTTAAATACTATTATGATCAACAAATTGAATTACATTTTGAATTGTAATTTTCACAAAATACACAACAAGGGAAATAAACTACACTGCATTATATGAAGAAAACTAAACACATAAATAGAAAAATGTTATTCTATTCAAATGAATGTGATAACTGAATAAGATATCATATACTATAGCTAATATAAAGCACTCCCTTAAGAACCATTTAAGAAAATTACATAACTACCCTTAATTTGTAGTATGTCAATTTACTGATCTTCTGTCAAGACGTATGGACGAATGAATCGGCAAATGTAATGAAGCGAATGAGTCGAGCGAGCGAATTGGGGGATGATATGAATGAACGACGGGCTCACCGTTTGTGGTGGCCGTTTTCGACGTCGGCCTATGCAGTTTGTGATGAGTAATTTCGACGGCCTACATAGATTGTGGTGTGTAAATTTACTGCGGCGGGCTCACCATTTGTAGTGTATCGACTTACTGAGTGTTCTTAGGCTTCGTTACTAACTAGCGTCTGACGGTTTATAAATCAGCAGGTGAACACAAAGTGTTAAATACGTTTATTTGGGACACCACAAAGCGAAGCGGAGAAGCAGTGAATAAAACGAAAGAAACGACATGAATTGGAGAAGGCTGTTGAGCCAACTCCCAGGATTACAATGCAAACAAATAGGCGTTGGAAGCGAATGAACAGGCGAAGCGCTTTGGAGAAGTCTGAAGAGCCAACTCAAAGAAAAAGAATATCTAGTCAGACAAAAATAAGACAGACATGTGATCAACGAGAAAGGCATGCACACACATGAATAAAAGTGACGAATGGTTGACAGGGTCAAATGACAAGTGGGACACGTCATGTGAGCTTGTAAAAACCAGACAATAATAAGAACGAATGGTACATATATATATATATATATATATATATATATATATATATATATATATATATATATATATATATATATAAATTGTTGCAATATAAATGGCTTGGTTAAATAGATTAATCGAAAGGGCCTAACCAAGTAAGATGTTACCGAACTGGAATATATGTGGAGGCACTACAAACTCATGAACAACAAAGCGCTTGTCTCGAATTCTATCAAGCATATCTTTATCATGAACTACTGTTAGGTATCAGAGTATAGCTAATTGCTGAAGATGAAAACAACTCTAGTTTGTGATGAGAGCTTAACACAGCACGAAATAGTAACTGATGAACATTGTTTCATGTTCAACCATGAAGTTGGTATAAACTGATGTTGTTTAGAATATTCAACTGTCTACTGACCTAAATCAAATCAAACTGTTCGCTATAAACAAACAAATACATTAAATATTTAGATTACGTTAGCCTGATTGTAGAGAATTACTATTAAGTTTTACTACCTATAAGTAATGTATTGTAATGCTGTATAATTTGAAGTAATTCTTGTTAATGTAGGATGGATGTATTGAGTTATTCACTTGTTTTGTACAAACTTGTTTTTTGCTGTTTATGAATGAGACCTAATTGTTAGTTGAATAATTTATCAAGACATACATGGATAAACTTATGGTATGAATATTAATTCATATCTCTGTCAACGGTTACTTATTCTATGTGTATTGCATTTAGCATTAACAATTTAAAATGTAACCAGCAGGAGATAGAATAAGCATAAATCGGAACAATAGAAAGTGGTTTAATTAATTCAGGTTCGAATGAGTTTTCACCTATGATACATTCGGTCTAAAGTAGTATTCTAAATCGATTGTTAATTTGTTTACAATTTTTATATTCTAAAAGAAAAAAACTCTGAACAGTTAGATTGATTTAAGCCAGATTAAATATACGGAAACCTCTGGATTCAAATGTGAGTAATTGATATTTTTCTAGTGACGTTCAGTTGTCACGAAGTTTATTTACAGTATAGTTTTATAAATTAAGACAAAACTAAAATAATCAAATAATAATCTTCATTTATGCCACTTCCTGTTAGCCAATCCATCGACCGTTCCATGATACTGACGTAAGAATAAAGATAAAACAACAACCAAAGTAAAATAATATGAATTTATATGTCGTGATTTTCTCATCAACTGCTTACAGCCGTATGTATATTAAAGTATAATAAAAAGCTGAAAACCTCGTTAAAACCATGAGCTGATCAGTGTTCGACAACCATTGAAAACCTGGGAGCAATGGATGGTCGTTTCGTCTTAGTATGGGAGTCCCGGACAGTGCACACCAAAGACTCTACAAGTGGAAAGCGAACCTAGGATCATCAGTCTGACACGCGAACGTTTAACCTCAAGACCACTAATTTTAATATCTAATTTCGACCAATCCACAATATTTCGTCACCATCATCCATTCATAATAATTTTGTATCAACAACTCAAACAAATAATCAAATTCAAGTAAACAGCACAATTACATTATATGTGCACTCAACATTCATTTTACAATGTATAAATTAACCTGATCAACTATTATCATCATGTTGAAGTTTTGTAAAGAATATACTACTAGTAATTCTAAATGAAGTAACGAATATAGTAAGGAATTTATAACTCCATTTCAATCAACCATTAAGATATGAAGACATTATTCAGTTGAATAATTAACTGGCTGTTAAGTCACAAACAATAAATATACTTGAAATCATCAATCAATCATTGTTAGACCACCATTAGAAACCTGGAAGCACTGGACGGCCGTTTCGTCCTGGTATGGGACTCATTAAATGTGCAAAAACACAAACCTCCAAAAACTCTGCCCCAAAATATCGTAACAGTGCTCACTAGTGACTAGCTTCGTGAGGAAATTCTCGGAGTTCTAGTTGAGAAGATGTGACCAATGGATTTCAACCCTGTCGGGTGTAGGCAGTAACTACCAAAGACAAATAGGTGATGTCGCGCAAAATCCCTAGATCAATCAGAATTAGACATTAACACCGTTGGATGCCGGCCCAGTGGTCCGATGGCTAGGCGTTCGTACACAATACCGAAGGCACCGGGTTGGAATCGTGCGAGGAGCAGGGGTCGTGAATGCCCACTGCTGATAAGTCCCATACCATGACGAAACGGCCATCCAGTGCCTCCAGGTTACTAATGGTGGTCTAACAATGATTGATTTATGATTTCAAATGTGTAAAAACACAAACCTCCAAAAACTCTGCCCAAAAAATATATGAATTCAGTTGGTTGAAGATTGAATGGAGCTCATACTGTAATAAATTCTAAATATATTGTGTGAAACTTTGGATGTATGTCCCGACCTTCATGTATAACAATGAGTAAATGAGGAAATCTAGATGATTGTTTCTTGTTCAAATCTGTCTGTTACTTACAAAGAAGAACCTATTGGAGCTAGTCTATAAAAAAAACCTTGAATTTCTGCTCGATTCAAATCTGACAGTGGGCATATCACAATGCAAATTTAATGATCACAATCTGAATGTAACCGACAAGATTCATTCAATACTGACCAATACTAACCAATATGCTATGAGTAACTCGTTTGTTAGTGCGTAGTGTAAAACTTTGTTTAATTTTAAGAAGTTTTCGATACTTTCACTGATTTTGTGATTTTTTCTTTTTAGACAATAGTTAAGTAAACTGAAACTAATTCCAGTTATTGTCATTGAAGTTAATTTTCACTCCTGTTTTTATGTCATTCACCTTAATTAGTGATATTGATTTTTGTTAACAAAATATTCAAATCGTTCAAAGAATTTTTGTCTGTATTGTGATTGAGACACTAAGAGATGATTAAAAAAAATTAATTTCAATATTTTTGTTTAGTTCATAGTTGATATTCTTTCAGATAAGTTAATTTAATCAGTGTTTAGTTTAAATGTTATTGTCTTATATAATGTGGTAGAGAAATAATGATAATTTATCAAAAGTAGAATTAGTTAGAAGTTTTTGTGAAATAAATAATCAAAGTGTGCTGATTAGAATTATTAGTTTCATAATAGAGATTAGAAGTGCAATTCAGAAAAGTTTTTCATTCAATTCTGTAGTCGTTGTTGACCAAATCCGTATATTACTCAATAGTGTTATTTTAGTTAGATTTTGATCTTTCTCAAAAACACCAAATGTATTTAAGAAATTGTTGAATCCCCAAAACATACTGATTACTACGCGTTGAGGAGTTGACAAAGAGAAAACACAAGACAAACTTAAATGTCATCTGGGCTTTACTCTAATATACATGAATATTTATGTATGAAAATGTTAAACCAATCAAGGCAATTTAAGAGTCAATAATCACAATGAAATGAAAAAGATTATGTCACTACATATAATAGGCAAAAGTACAAGTGGATAGTAGGAAGACAGATGTACTGATAGTAGTAAGAAAATTATGAAATATGATAGCTATATCGGGTGTACTTCCAGGCAACTTACCCAACGAATGAGTGAACATCTCCCAGCATGGTTTACGAAGGGTCAGTCAAAAACAATAAGCACACCTGGTAGATAGTGGTCATATTGTATATAAATCTAGATCTTTTCTGGTGATCTTTCGTATACCTCCATCATTTCCCAACGGAGTTCGATCCCGTCTCCTACACATAGCAGAAGCCATAGGAATTCGTACATTCAACCCAAATTTATGTGTTCAGAAGAAATTCGTGACACCACTATCTCTTCCGTGGCCGGATATGACGTAACTAACGATTGACATTATATTTTTTATTTTCATTTTATTTTTATACATTTGCTTATTACGTAATGGTTTTGATGTTTTTAATGATTATTTGAAGTCTATTCATTTATAATTTTATTACTACTATCAGTACATCTGTCTTCCTACTACCCACTTGTATTTTTGCCTATTATATGTAGTGACGTAATCTTTTTCATTTCATTGTGATT